CTGGTTACTCTGATGGCCCGGCGGGGGGTGAGGGAACCCGCTCACCATACCCTTGCTCTTTCAGCGGTTTGGGCCTTCACGGTTACGGAACATGGCAGCTGCTGATGCTCTCTGCGCCATGCGTGAGAACAACAACGACGACGACGACGGCATCGACGACGGCGTCGACGACGACGACGATGATACGACGACGACGATACGACGACGACGATACGATGACGACGACGACGACGAATACGACGACGACGACGACGACGACGACGACGACGACGACGACGACGACGACGACGACGACGACGACGACGACGACGCGCCCTCCGCGGCGCTGCGCTTCCTCTGCGCCGCGCGCGGCTTCTGCGCCGGATGCCCCGCCCGCGCCCGGACGCACCGACTGAGGACCTCGTGCTCGACGGCGCGCCGGGCGCGGCCGGCGGCAGGAGCTCCCATCCTTCCGCGGGGCCGCTCCGGGGGGCCTCCCCGGCCCTGCCGGGTGTTGCCGCTATTGTTTAACCGATCCCCATCCCCATCCCTTTCGAGACCCCCACCAACTTGCCACCCCAGTTGGGGATACACCCCTCGAAACCCGAAAGGAACGACCTATATCCCCGTCTAGGGGGGGAAATCGGCCAATGGGGCCCAGGCCACGCCGCTGGGGATGGGGATCGGTTAGACGATACTCATGTTGCCAGGGGTGCCCCTGGCCCAACCCTGAGATCCGAAGTCTCGAACAAAAATGAGACATCGTGAGAGATCACGGCCTGGAGCCCCGGACCCCATCTTTCTGCGCCACTTCTCGAGCCGGATCCATCTGTGAGGGTCCCGGGGCCCGAAAAGAAGCGAAAACGTCCGGCTCGAAAACATTGAGTCGCCAGGATCTCAGGGAAGGTGCCCCGGGATTTCCGAGGAGACCCCCACGGTCTCCAGAGCACCCCTCACGAGGCCCAGGGAGCCCCGAGGGCTGCGACATGGAGCGGGAAGCTGGGGGCAACTTGGGCCAGGGGTGCCTTTCGCAACCCTGGACCCTGGCCGCCTCCCAACGCGTCTCCTCGGGGCGGGGAGGGCGAGGGGGGGGGGTCGGTACACTCGAAATGGGCACGGAAAGACTGGGAGCCGGTTTCTTTTTAGACTCTTTGCTTGCACGGCCTTCGCCCGCCGCTCGCCCCCCCCCTTCGCCCCTCCGTCAACGAACACCAGCGTGCAGGTGCCTTTCGACTTGCGTGATTTCCGCACGTGCAAGTCGTTTGCGGCTTGCTGCAGGTTACCCCCCCCCCTCCCCCCGTCCATGCAAGTGAACTTGCCGGGGCCTTAAACAAACAGGCTCCTTCCGCCTCCCGACGCGCCTCCTCGGGCGGGGAGGGCGAGGGGGGGAGGTCGGTACAATCGAATTGGGCACGGAAAGATTGGGTATGATCGGACGGGGCTGGGACGAGGAGAAATCCGCTCCAGAGTGTCCTGAGCGTTCCAGAACGCTCTGAGAAGGCCGCGGCGCCCGAGACATCCTCCAGAGCCGCCAGGTCTCAGAGATCCTCGATGTATCCTCACACGAATTGATCTTCGTTCTGCCTTCGTCTTGCATGAAGACCGGCAGCAGTGCCTGTCCACTTTGAACAGGCTTCGCTGTAGGCGTCGCTGCGGACCTTGTCCGTTTGAGTCAGAAGGCCGCCTGCCAAGCAGCGGCCGCCAATCATCGGTTTTGGAAAACCTTCGTTATGCATCGTACCCGATCTTTCCGCACCACTTTCTGGCGTCCAAAATCCGAAACAAGAACATATACATTAACCAGTGGCGGGCCATTTTTCAACCCCAGGACTCTTTGAGGGTTGGAGACGACGTCGAGGTGGTTTGGTTCCCCAGGGAAGCAACGCAAAAGGTATACACCAGGACCCCGTATACACCAGGCTCCGCTTTCTTGTGCGAGTTCCCAGTGCGGGGCCAGAAAAAGCGTCTGTGTATGTAAAGTTCGTCTCCTTACAAAAAGGGGGGTCAACAGCATTCCAATTGCCACGTTGACAGCTATGAGCTCACTTTGAATTCTGAGATTCATAAATACATTTTGGGCGTCCCAACAAGGGGGGGGTCAACAGCATGCCAACTGCTCGCTGCGGATGGGCCAGGCAGTGTGCCAGCATCGCCGGCGCCCGAGAAAGGTTTCGTGGCCCGTTTAGTTTTTCTTGGGGGGCCCCGCCTACTGCCTCCGACGCGCCTCCTGGGAGGTGAGGGCGATGGGGGGGGGATCCACTCAGAGGGGGAAAACGTACCCATATATTTACCCTTTCCACGTTATCCCTTTTGCTGGGCCTCCTCGGAGGCCCTCGTCGCCACCGTCGGATTCGCCTCGAACTTCTGGTTAGAACGCCCCCCGGGAGAGGTCCGTGGAGTAGCGGTTTGGGTACCACTTGGTCCCTTCATCAACGCATCGTGTGCCAGCAGTGTGCCAGCATCGTCGACGCCTGGTTGATGGCCTGAGCCTTGATGTGAGGCAACGTGGCCGAGGGCCTCACCCAGGCTCGAGAGGTCCTGCATCTTCGGGCGCCGCCACGGCACAATCACGCGGAGGGATGGCCAGAGCTCGATGTGTGACTGGCACGCCACCTGCCTGATGGCGAGTCTGGCCACTTCAAGCAAGCACAGACGAGTAGAGGCTGGGAGGGGAGGGTGAGGGTGTCCTCGTGACCCACAAAGGAAGTCCAGCAGAAAGGGGGTGGCGCAATAGATTTGGGACAATTGTATTGCAAATGTATTGTGCCAGAGAATTGTGAGGAACCAGTCCCAGGGGGAGGGTCGAGACTCCTGGGTTGTCACGTTTTGTGAACCACACGAGCACGACGTCGGGGATCTGGGGAGGAGGAGGGGGAGAATGAGCAAGGGGCGGAGCGAAGCGATGAGGGGGGGAGAATCACCAGGAGGGAAAAACACAGACACAAGTGATTCTCGATCCCAAGGAAAATAGAAGGAAATATACGAAGTGGGGGGTTGACGAGGGCCTAGAAAATCTCATAGGAAAAAATGGGAATCTTGGGATCTGTGTGTTTTTATTCAATCGCTTCGCTCATTCCGCCGGCCCATATTGCAGCATCACGAAGGCCGAGAAGGCGTGCAGACAGTGCGGCGCGCTGGCGACTTGCCCGTCGTGTGGGGCGACGAAGAGCCCGACAGAGTTCGACGCGGAGGTGTTGCGGCATGCGCGGAGACACGGCCGGGGCGCAGTATGCCGAGCCTGCAAGAGCTCCACGGGGCCCGCTGCGCGGAAGAAGGTGAAAGCAATGTAACCGACCCGGACGCAGCGATTGCTGGAAGACGGAGGGTGCGACGTCGGGTCGGCGGAGCGCTGAGCCATTGAGGGGAAAGTGAAACGACATGTAGGGGTGTGATTTGACGGATCCAGAGCAAGGAGGGCTGGAAGAAAAAAACCTTCGCTGATGCTCTGGCGGTTGGCCATATTGTAGCATCGCTGGCGCTTGCTCGCGTGCTCGGGGGGGCATTTTGGGGGCCTCCTGGGGCCGCTTGGGGGCTTCTTGGGAGCTTCCTGAGAGCCTCTGGGGGGTCTCTTGGGGCCTCTTAGGGGCCTCTTGGGACCTCCTGGGGGCTTCTTGGGGCCGAGGGCTGGAAATGTTGTTTCGTGTTCCCCCTCTTGGGGCGTTCTTGGGGCCCTCTTGGGCCGTCTTGGAGACCTCTTGGGCCGTCTTGGAGCCCTCTTGGGCCGTCTTGGGGCTCTCTTGGGGGCCTCTTAAGCCCTCTTGGGGCGATCTTGGAGTCGTCTTGGGCTGTCTTGGGGCTTCGGGAAGCGGAAAAGGTGGAAAAGCCAAAATATGTCCAAAACCTAAGGAAAAGCAATGAATTTTGCCTCTTGGGGCCCTCTTGGGAGTACGCTTGGAGACCTCTTGGAGCGTCTGGGGGCCATCTTGGGCGTCTTGGAGCGATCTTGTGGCATCTCGGACGCCTCGTGTACCATCTTGGGGACCTCTTGCGGGCCTCTTGGTTTTGTTTGGGTCCTCGGGGACGTTTTCGGAGCCCTGTTGGTGCGCTCGTGGAGCGCTCGGGGGGACCCGGCCGGGGACCGGCCGGGGACCGGCCGGGACCTGGTCGGGGTACTTTTCGTCTGGGGACCCCCAGGGGCCGCCCCGCGCGCGCGAAGTAGAAACATTGTAGAGCAGTTACCGGAGATCTTCGCACGCCTCTGGCCCGTTGGGCCGGCGAATTGTGTGTTCCTAGGCCCCCTCAAATCAGGCCGATCAGGGCATGGAGGGTGTTGGGAAGGGGGAGGGTGGTGCCGGGAGGCGCAGGGGGAAAGAGGAGGAGGTGCAGGAGGAGGTGCAGGAGGAGGAGGAGGAGGAGGAGGAGGAGGGGGGAGGAGGAGGAGGAGGAGGAGGAGGAGGAGGAGAGGAGGAGAGGAGGAGGAGGAGGAGGAGGGAGGAGGAGGAGGGAGGAGGAGGGGGGAGGAGGAGGAGGAGAGGAGGAGGAGGAGGAGGAGGAGGAGGAGGGAGGAGGAGGAGGAGGAGGTAGGAGGAGGAGGGAGGGAGGAGGAGGGAGGAGGGGGGAGGAGGGGGAGGGGGAGGGGGGGGGAGGTAGAGGGAGGTATGGGGGAGGGGGGAGGAGCAGGGCAGACGAGGACGAGGAGGGAGACGCCCGACGAGGCAGAGAGGAGCGGGGAGGTCAGTAAGGGGGAGGAGAAGGAGTAATGGTAGGAGGAGGAAGGAAGGAGAGGAGCAGTGAGAAAGGATGAGGGTGCAGGGAGATGGGGGTTGGGGGAGATAGGGTATGGGGAAGATATGTGAGATATGACGAGTGAGAGGGACAACGAGGAGGGAGCAGGGAGCATGGCGACGTCCTGACCAGTTCTTAAACGCAGCGTCCAGCCGCGGCGACGAGAACCTCCAGAAACACTCCACAAAAAACCGATGACGACGTCGACGACGACGACGACGGCGACGACGATACGACGACGACGCCGACGACGACGCCGACGACGACGATACGACGACGCGCGCCGCGGCCGCCAGCGCGCCCTCCGCGGCGCTGCGTTTCCTCTGCGCCGCGCGCGGCTTCTGCGCCGGGGACGCCGCGGGGCCCGGTGCCGCGGGCGGCGGGGCCGGCCTGGAGGCGCGCCCGGGCGGCACGGGAAGGGTGGTGTCAGAGGCCGGCAGCAGCACATACAGTCGGGGCTCATTGAAGCCTTTGTTCTGATTCGGGCCAGTGTACCTGCATGGCGTTCGACCCCCCCCCCCTCGCCCCTCTTCAGACGAACACTGGCGTGCAAGTGCCTGTCGACTTGCGTGATGTCCCCACGTGCGCGTCCTTTGCAGCTTGCTTAAGCTTCGGGCCCCCCCCGCCCATGCAAGTAAACTTGCCGGGGTCTAAGAAAACAGGATCCGGGAAGAGTGGTGTCACAGACCGACAGCAGCACAGACAGTCGAGTCTCATCAGCAGGCCAACCCTGTCAAATCAGGGGTGCCCTGGTGTCCTGTGTGCTCGCGACCCGTGCCTTCTGCGGTCCTGTGGCAGTGTGGCGCTCGGAAGGGTCTTGGCGTCCTGTCGCGTGTCCTCTCCCATCCACCCCGACTGCACGGTTGGCGTTGCAAAGCCAGCGTGCGACGTGGCGCCGCCGGCCCGCTTACGACACGCTGTGGCTAACCCCCTCATTGGGGGATGGCGTGCACCGAAGAGGCCCTGGGCAGGGGGGCGGCGTGCACAGAGGGATCCCTCGCAGGGGGAGCGCCTCACAGGGACAGCGTGCACGGAGGAAGCCTTCTTCTTGGGGGACAGCGTGCTTCTCGGAGATCGGTGTTGCAAGTTACCTTCGCGTCGCCAGGCGTACGGTCGGGAACTCTTGCGTAGCGTGTCGCGCCACCAGGCTTGGTCCACGAGGCTTCGGCGCATCATGCTACCCAGAGATCCGACGTCGTGTTTTTTTCAATGCGGGGTCCCCGGAAGTCTCTACCCATTCCCCAGGACCGGCTTTTCATCCTGAGGCGTTTTCTGACAGTCCCTGGGCCCGGCGAGGGCCTCCCGAGGCCGACAGTTGCGAACAAAACTCAGCCTCGATTTTTGTCGATGCGTTGGATCTCTGGGGATGCACGTCGGAGGTCCGCAGGCACCAGCGCCCCGACCCGTTGCCGGGCCTCTCGGCCCGCGGAGAGCGGCGCGGCACGCGACGCGTGAGCCGGCAGGGCATGTCAGCGCGCCGCCGGGGCTGCCGGTTGCGCGACGTGCTGAGCGAAGGTTCCGGGCTGTGCCCGTGCCTTTCGTCCGGGGCTCGCCGTCGGTGTCGCCGCGGACGCTGTGCGTTTGAATCGGGGCCGGACACGAACCACCCTGCTTGCCTCCAGGGTGCCCTGGGTTTCTTGGGTTTCGAGGGTTTTTACAATGGAGAGCGCGACGTGCCTACGCCCAAAATCCATGGACGTCCTGGGGTCTCAGGGTTGGGTTTCTTGTGGAAGGTTTCTTGTGGACTGGCGTCCACTGTAGGGGAGGGGGGGGTGTTAAGAAACCTGCTGCGTGCAGCTGGTTTCCGCCCCGCCGCCGGGCCCAGTCCTCGAGACAGGGGCGCCTTCCAGCGCCAGGAGGCGCCGGGAAAGCCAGCTGCGTGAGCTGATTTCCTACCCTGCCCTCTACCCTTTTCGCCCCCCCCCCCCCCCAACGATTGAAACAACAGGCCGCCTTCCCGACAGCGGCCGCTGCCGGTCTTGGACAGCACTTGCCGTTGGGCACTGTGTCCGTTTCCCCGTGCCCAGCTCGGGAGGCCCGTCGTCGGTGCGGGGCCTCACGGCCACGTCGTCGTCGCCGCGGTCGAGGCCGCAGTTCGGGGGCGGCCAAGAGGGGGGTGATGACCGGGGGAGGGGGGGAGAATCATGGCGTGGGCCATGATAGTTCCCCAGATCTCATGGCGCCTCTTCTTTTTTCAGTACGTCCCTGGCCTTCCCCCCCCCCGCCCCTGGGCCGCGCACATGCCGCCGGCCATGATCTGCGCCCCTCCCCTTCTTGGACGCCCCCCTCTTGGCCGACCCCGAGTAGCTTTTGGAGGAGGGCCCGGTCGAGGCAGCGGACGGCCTTCCCTCGCGTTTTGTTTCGTCCCTCTGCCAGGGCCCGCTCCGCAGCGCGCACGCAGCGGCCTTTTACGGTCTGAGCGTGCCCCCGTCTTGCGTCCCCTTTCGGGCCTCCCGCTCCCCGCGTCCCCTCGGTGTCTGTAGCTGTGTTCTGGCGCACCCCGCCTCCGGCTTACCGCCGTTTGGAGCTCCCATGTCTCAGAGGCGGCGATAGAGGCGAATCGCCCAGGGGAGAGCAATACATGTGTTCAGGTTCGCCGATGGTTTATGTCTTCGAGAAGGCTCCCGGGCGAATACGTGTAATGCCCGCCCCTGGGCTATTCGCCCCTTATCGTCGCCGCCGAATGTCCGCCGACAAAATAATTATCCCGGCAAAGCAACCTAACAGCGATGTGTAGGACCATATCTGGAAGCATTTCCCTTAAGATTCAGATGAGAATCCTGTTGTAGAATTCTGCTGTTCTCGCAGTCGTAGTCGCATTCGCGATGGCAGTTGCAGTGGCAACGGCAGTCGCAGTCACAGCCTCAGCCTCAGCCTGCCTCAGCCTCAGCCTCAGCCTGCCTCAGCCTCAGCCTGCCTCAGCCTCAGCCTCAGCCTGCTTCAGCCTCAGCCTCAGTCTGCCTTCAGCCTCGGCCTCAGCATCAGCCTGCCTCAGCCTCAGCCTGCATCAGCCTCAGCCTCAGCCTCAGCCTGCCTCAGCATCAGCCTGCCTCAGCCTCAGCCTCAGCCTGCCTCAGCCTGAGCCTCAGCCTGCTTCAGCCTCAGCCTCAGTCTGCCTTCAGCCTCGGCCTCAGCCTCAGCCTGCCTAAGCCTCACCCTGCATCAGCCTCAGCCTCAGCCTCAGCCTGCCTCAGCATCAGCCTGCCTCAGCCTCAGCCTCAGCCTGCCTCTGTCTCAGCCTCAGCCTGCTTCAGCCTCAGCCTCAATCTGCCTTCAGCCTCGGCCTCAGCCTCAGCCTGCCTCAGCCTCAGCCTGCATCAGCCTCAGCCTCAGCCTCAGCCTGCCTCAGCATCAGCCTGCCTCAGGCTCAGCCTCAGCCTGCCTCAGCCTCAGCCTCAGCCTGCTTCAGCCTCAGCCTCAGTCTGCCTTCAGCCTCGGCCTCAGCCTCAGCCTGCCTCAGCCTCAGCCTGCATCAGCCTCAGCCTCAGCCTCAGCCTGCCTCCGCATCAGCCTGCTTCAGCCTCAGCCTCAGCCTGCCTCAGCCTCAGCCTCAGTCTGCTTCAGCCTCAGCCTCAGTCTGCCTTCAGCCTCAGCCTCAGCCTCAGCCTGCCTCAGCCTCAGCCTGCCTCAGCCTCAGCCTCAGCCTGCCTCAGCCTCAGCCTCAGCCTGCTTCAGCCCCAGCCTCAGTCTGCCTTCAGCCTCGGCCTCAGCCTCAGCCTGCCTCAGCCTCAGCCTGCATCAGCCTCAGCCTCAGCCTCAGCCTGAATCAGCATCAGCCTGCCTCAGCCTCAGCCTCAGCCTGCCTCAGCCTCAGCATCAGCCTGCCTCAGCCTCAGCCTCAGTCTGCCTTCAGCCTCGGCCTCAGCCTCAGCCTGCCTCGGCCTCAGCCTGCACAACCCCAGCCTCAGTCTCAGCCTGCCTCAGCATCAGCCTGCCTCAGCCTCAGCTCAGCCGCCTCAGCCTCAGCCCTCAGCCTGCTTCAGCCTCAGCCTCAGTCTGCCTTCAGCCTCGGCCTCAGCCTAAGCCTGCCCAGCCTCAGCTGTCATCAGCATCAGCCTCAGCCTGCATCAGCCTCAGCCTCAGCCTCAGCCTGCCTCAGCATCAGCCTGCCTGAGCCTCAGCCTCAGCCTCAGCCTGCTTCAGCCTCAGCCTCAGCCTGCCTGCAGCCTCAGCCTCAGCTCAGCCTGCCTCAGCCTGAGCCTGCCTCAGCCTCAGCCTCAGCCTGCCTCAGCCTCAGCCTCAGCCTGCTTCAGCCTCAGCCCCAGTCTGCCTTCAGCCTCAGCCTCAGCCTCAGCCTGCCGCAGCCTCAGCCTGCATGAGCCTTAGCCTCAGCCTGCATCAGCCTCAGCCTCCGCCTCAGCTTGCCTCAGCATCAGCCTGCCTCGGCCTCAGCCTCAGCCTGCCTCAGCCTCAGCATCAGCCTGCCTCAGCATTCAAAATGTGGCCCGGGAATGGAGTTCTGGGAACTCGAAGAACACGAAGTGGCCTACAGTTGGCTCCGGGCATTCAAAATCATGCCCAGGAATGGAGTTCTGGGAACTCGAAGACCACGAAGTGGCCTACAGTTGGCTCCGGGCATTCAAAATCATGGCCCGGGAATGGAGTTCTGGGAACTCGAAGACCACGAAGTGGCCTACAGTTGGCTCCGGGCATCAAAATGTGGCCCGGGAATGGAGTTCTGGGAACTCGAAGACCACGAAGTGGCCTACAGTTGGCTCTGGGCATTCAAAATGTGGCCCGGGAATGGAGTTCTGGGAACTCGAAGACCACGAAGTGGCCTACAGTTGGTTCCAGGCATTCAGAATGTTGCCCGGGAATGGAGTTCTGGGACCTCGAAGACCACGAATTGTGTGTAACTGTTGGCTAAAAAAGTCCCCGGCACCCTCCCCGGGATCGCGCCCAGACCCCCCTAGGGCATCATGATGCTCTCTTTTGACCCTACTAGAAACCTGTCAGTCTTCGCTGTTAGGTAACAACGTCCCTTTCAGGGGCCGTCCTGGGGACCTCCTCGTCGGCATGAACGGCTCCGCCTTGAGAAACGGGTACGGGATTCGTCCTGAAACGAGTTTGAGCGGACGTAGGGCGGGCCACGTCGTCGTCGTCGTCGTCGTCGTCGTCGTCGTCGTCGTCGTCGTGGTGTCGTCGTCGTGCCGTCGTCGTCGCCGTGGTCGGTGCCGAGTGCGAGCAAGCACATCATTGCAATGAAAGCATGCGTCCGTGGCGTCGCAACGAACGCTTTTTTGGTTTTGCTCACATTGAATGTTCATTGTTTTGAAACCTTGCCGCTTCGCATATCCCCGCCAGCCCATATAGAAATACTTAGCATGAGTGAGAAGGTTGAAGTAGGGGAGGAGAACGAGGAAGCGCAGGGGGAGCAAGAGGACCATTGGGGAGGAGGGGGGAGGAGGTGGCCTACTTGGACCTGCTGTTGAGAGCCTTTTGGAGGGTTCTTGGGCATCATCGCATCTTGATGCATGTCCTCCCCCTAATCCCGACTAGGTGGACCTGGAGGCTGCGGCCTTCGCCAGCTACCAGGTCCGCTTCCGCCCCGCCGCCACGGCCGACGCCAGCCGGGGCGGCGACGAGGCATGGATGGAGCTGCCTGCGACAGGACGCTCCTTTTCGCCCTCGACGCCGCTCTTCTCCTCCCGTTTTGTCCCTCCGCGACGTCGTCGTCCTCCTCGTCGGCGAGCGGGGGGAGTGGATCCCGAGATGTGCCAGTGCATGGATCTGATTTGGGCCCGCGGCGCCAGACGCGGTCGCATACAGGTTTTCAGGGTTTTCTTGCGAAGGTTTTCCAGCGTCCGCACCGTAGAGCTGGGGGCGGGGGTGTCACATCTTGTTATGGCCCCATCCCGCGTTCCCTTCTTAGGGGATGGGAGGACGGGCCGGCATCACCCTCGCCTCACTTCGTTTTGAAGACGGCGAGATGTGCGCCTGGGGGTTTGTATAACGCAGCCCAGCAGTTGAAAGCGTTGGGATAAAGGCCCACCTCGCTCTGGGAGGGGGCTCGTGGATCCCCGGGCCCTTCCGCAACCAGGTGTTTCCTCGGGCTCGCCTCGCAAGTGTAGGCGCAACACGGTTCAGAATGGGGCTCCTGACCGCGCGTGAAACAGATCAGTTGCATTTTCCGTGTGAGGGCCCGGCTTGTCTCCCAAATCCGAGGAGACCGAGTTCCTGGGGGAGGAACCTGCTGGCCATCCCTACGAAGTTCGCACGATCGATGGTTGGAGCTCTTGCAGGAGGAGTTCGTATATCTTTGCCTGGCTACAGTGCAGGCAAGACGCTGGAATACCGAACACTTTCCGTTCGGTAGGGGCTCGGGCTCACGGGGGGAAGACCTGGGATTCGCTCCTCGGTTTGGGCTGTTTTTGGGAAACGGCTTCGACTGCACTCCGAGCTCCGACGTCGTGGACAAGACAGCACGCCGATATGAAACCACGTCTGGAGCTGCCGACCCCCTTCCTGTCTAGAACAGTGGAGACCCATGCCAAGAAACACCCTGCTCGCCTCCAGGACTCCAGGGTGCCCTGGGTTTCCTGGGTTTCGATGGTTTTGCTATGGAAAGCGTGATGTTCCATTACCGAAAATCAATGGACGTCCTGGGGTCTCAGGGTTGGGTTTCTTGTGGAAGGTTTCTTGTGCTCGGGCCCTACACTGTGTCCCTTCTTTCCAGATTCGTTGCAGACCCGTGTGGGGCGCTCCAGGAAGAGCCTCGATCGCGTTGCACCAATGAGGCATCTCGTCTTCGATGGAAAGCCAGGGAAACCGGCCGAGGTAAAGGCGGAGCGGCTCCGCCGGCGGAAAGCAGCAGGTGGGCCCCGACAGTATTTTAGACCCGGGCCCAGACATCCGACGTCTGCTTTTGCGAAGGCGCTCCCCGACCAGTAGTGCCGACCGTGGATCGTTGGCTGCGCCTTCCTATCCCGAGCTGTATTCTCTGGCGGTCCTGGAGCCCTGCGAGGGCCTTACAAGGGATCCGCAAACGACAGACATGGCTTTTCATGATGACCACTTCTGAGGGACCTCTCGGGCCGGAGGCGTCGGGGCACGCGTGCCCCAGAACGGGGATCGCCCCCAGGCCCGACGGTGCGATTTCTCCAGTCCGCGGCCACCGACCCCTCGACCACATCCCCGTGGACAGCTCTGCGCCCCGGAGCACGGCCCCGGATCACGGCCGGGATCATCGCGCGCGGGGGCCGAACACGACCCGGGGAGGCCGAGACGGAGGAGACAGCGCCCGGAGTGGACATGCAAGCAACATCTCGGACCCAGACGTTTCGGCGGCTCGATTGTCCTACATAGACCTCTCGACCACCTGCCCGGGGTCGGTTCTGCCTCCAGGGTCTGGTTCTTCGACTGACCTGGGGCCCGCAGCGTGCTCCTGGCTCCCGGAGACCTACATGTGAAACATTGGCAGGAGCTTTTTTGTTCTAGACCCCGGCAAGTTTACTTCCATGGACGGGGGGGGGGCCTGAACCTGAAGCAAGCCGCAAACGACTTGCACGTGCAAGTCGGAGGTCACTTGCACGCCATAGTATTCGTCTGAAGAGGGGCGATGGGGGGGGGGCGAACGAAATGCAAGTAAACTTGCCAGAACATTCGTTTTTGATGTCAAAAAAGCAACTCCAAACTCCAGTCTCGGTTTTTCCAAACTGCTGGATGCCCGGGGGCGTCTGTGTCTGTGGGTCTGCTTCATGGAGGGTGGCGCCTGGGCTCTCTCTCTTCCACGGCAGGAGGCGCCGCGTTCGACGCGGTGCAGCACGCGGTGTGCTTCGACGTGCCGCTGCTGGCTGGCCTGCCGCTTCCGCGAGGCCAGGGCGGCGGGAAGATTCGGTACACGGTCGAGGCGGGGACGGAAAGGCGAAGCGACGGAAAGAAGAGACGCAACGCCAAAGAGCCCATGGGTCACCCACGGGGGCGCGAGGACAATCGCGCTTCGCGCGGTCGCCCTTCTCCGGGCAGGGGTTGGGGGCCGCGCGAGGGCGCGAGGGCGCGAAGAGAAGCGCACGTCGCGCCTCGCGGGGGCGAGGAGCCACGGGTCGAATTCGGGACGGGTGCTCTTGCTCTCGGAGGTGCTCGCTGCGTCTTGGAGGCCTTCTCGCCTCGGGCTGCTCACCGGCAGCTGCGCCTCGCCAGGAGCGTGCCCTGGGGATGGGCCCGGATCGCCCAGCACGGCCGCCGCCGGGAGGCCCGAGTGATCTGTGCCCGGAAGCTCCCGGCACAGCGGGGGGCGAAGACAGCCAGCAGCCCCTGTCCCATGTCGAGCATCACCGCCCACCATGCCAACCCCAACCCAACCCGAGGGCTCCGGTTTGCCCTCCATTTCCAGTGGGGGGGGTGGTCGGGGAACATCGAAACAAAAACACATGAAGCCCGTACCCCACCCCAACCCGAAATTTGGGTCTTCGGGTTGGGTCGGGGTGGTCTGCTAGGTAGTCAGAGCAGGGCTCGACGTCGGTGTCGCCGGCCTGCCGATTCCGCGAGGCTGGAGCGGCCGGGGGATGTCGGCACGCTCGGGACGGTGACGGAAAGGTTAGAACATGGGGACGGGAGGGCCGACACACGGGAGGCATGCCTGGGGAACGTCGGATTCGGCAGCAAATCGTGGGAGCTTGGTATACCCCTGAATTCCGTCGCTAGCGTCGACTCGCGTCGATTAGCGTCTGGGAGTCGGTGAGGTATCGTCGATTTAGCGTCGGCTAGCGTCGATTAGCGTCGATTTAGCGTAGATCAGCGTCGATGTGCAAGAGCCGACAAGATGGGATGGGAGGTTCCCATGAGTTGCCACCGAAACCGGAGCGGGTTTCTGATCGTCGTTGTGGGTTTCCCAGGGCCGGTCTCGGGCCCCGGGGCTGGCAATCAAGCCTCAGGATGATAATGAAGCTTGCCCTGGGGAGAAGGTCGGGCAGTATTGATTGGAGGACGCCGTCTTGAAGAAAAATAATCGAGCGTAGACGGATGGAGTGGGAACGAGGACCGGCAGCAGCTCCCGATCCAATCTTTTGAGCAGGGCTCGGAGAAGGAGGAGGAGGAGGAGGAGGAGGAGGGATGAGGACGGAGGGGGAGGATGAGGGAGATGGAGGAAGAGGACGGAGGGGGATCAGAATGAGGACGGAGGGGGAGGAGGAGAAGGGGGGGGAGGAAGAGGAGGAGGAGGACGAGGAGGAGGAGGATGATAATGATGCTGATGATGATGATGAGGAGGAGGAGGAGCAGGAGGAGGAGGAGGAGGAGGCGGAAGGAGGAAGGAGGAAGGAGGAAGGAGACAGGAGACAGGAGGAAGGAGGAAGAGGAGGAGGACGAGGAGGAGGAGGAGGAGGAGGACCAGAGGAAACCCAAGAGTCATCAACGATGTTGGAATTAACCCTCCCTCCAAGCTCCCGCTTCATAGGCCCCTACAACGGTTCGTTTCCGTTGAGGGAGCTTTCTAGTTGGACGACAACAATTTGAAGATCCTGAAGCGTGCCAAAACATTGTTCTCGGGATTTCAGCGCCACGTAACCACCCGACTGCTGCGCCTTGACGATCCAGAATCGTGCCAGCGAGTGAACAGAACTGTTGCGCCCGCATGGTCCTGAATCATTCCAAAACACCATATGTGGTACGTTGATGATGAGAATCCGTGAAACTCTGGCAAATGTTTAAAACGAATGTGCGCGGCACTAAGGCGAGAGCCACATTTTGAAAACGACCCGCCCTCAACCCGTGAAACTCTTGCAAATGACTCATGTGCGGGGCGCTAAGGCGAGAGCCACATTTTGAAAACCACCAGCCCTCAATCCGTGAAACCCTGGCAAATGTTTAAAACGAATGTGCCCAGCGTTAAGGCGAGAGCCATATTTTGAAAACGACCCGCCCTCAATCCGTGAAACTCTTGCCAGTTTGCTTTAACGAATGTGCGGGGCACTAAGGCGAGAGCCACATTTCGAAAACGACCCGCCCTCAATCCGTGAATGTCTTGCAAAAATTTAAAACTCATGTGCGGGACGCTAAGGCGAGAGCCACATGTTGAAAACGACCCGCCCTCCATCTGTGAAGCTGCTGTCACTTTCTAAGCTTCAGAGTCATACATGGTGGGGAACTCTCAGGCAAAACGCCTGGCTCGCCCTAAAAACTGGCTTCGGGGTGCGACAGGGAGGAGTGATAGAAAGATGGAGCGCGGGGAGAATTATGGGTTATGGGGGAAGGGGGGGGGAACGGAAGGGAAGGCGTGGAAATGTGTGATGTGAGGTGTGCTTCCGTAGCCGCCCGACAGATGCCCCGTGCCCCTGGCCAGGCGAGCGGCGCGGGGTCTTCTCCGCGCGCCTCTCGGACAGGCACGGGCGTTGGACGGCCTGGTCGAAGCCCAGCGAGCCCGTGCTCCTCCGGGAGGGATGGGGGGGGGGATGCCCTAAGGACTTGACGAATTCTCGTCCATCGACTTGCGGGAATCAAGCCGGATACGTAACTCCTGGTGAGCGCAGAAGAATGGAGGGAATCCCGGTGAATCTGGGCAGATCCAGGCAAGTCCGGAGATCTCCAGGGAAAGTTTGAGAAAGTCGCGGCCGCTCCAGCGCGAGTCGAGGGTCGGCAGAAGTCGTCAAGCTCTTGACGACGGATGGAGAACCAGACGTCCGACGCCTGGGACAACGAAAAGCTTCCCACAGAGGCGTTCCTCGTCGGCCTCGGCCTGCCTGGGGCCCTCGCAAAAGGGCCCCGGCTCCGCCGAGGGAAAGACGATCCAGGGGACGAGAAGCCGGCCCTGGGCTAAGGATCGGGACATTTTGGAGCCTGTTGTCGTTCAGACCCCGGCAAGTTTACCTGCATGGACGGGGGGGGGGCTGAACCCGAAGCAGGCCGCAAACGATTTGCACGTGCGGAAATCACGCACGTCGAAAGGCACTTGCACGCTGGTATTGGTTTGACTCGTTTGAAGAGGGGCGAGGGGTGGGGAACGCCATGCAAGTGAACTTGCCCGATTTTTTACCTAACAGCGAAGACTGATAGGTTTCTAGTGGGATCAAAAGAGAGCAGCAGATCACTCCACAGGGGGGTCCGGGCAGGTGTTGGGAGTTGCCGGGCGGCAGGTGCCGGGCTCGTTTTTCACCAACAGTCACACACTTCGTGCTCTTCGACTTCCCAGAACTCCATTCCCAGGCCACATTCTGAATACCCGGATGCAACAGTCACACACTTCGTGCTCTTCGAGATCCCAGAACGCCATTCCCGGGCCACTTTTAGAATAACCGGATGCAACAGTCACACACTTCGTGCTCTTCGAGTTCCCAGAACGCCATTCCCGGGCCACATTTAGAATAACCGGATGCAACAGTCACACACTTCGTGCTCTTCGAGTTCCCAGAATTCCATTCCCGGGCCACATTTTGGATGCCCGGAGCCAACTGTAGGCCACTTCGTGCTCTTCGAGTTCCCAGAACTCCATTCCCGGGCCACATTTTGAATGCCCGGAGCCAACTGTAGGCCACTTCGTGCTCTTCGAGTTCCCAGAACTCCATTCCCGGGCCACATTTTGAATGCCCGTAGCCAACTGTAGGCAACTTCGTGCTCTTCGACTTCCCAGAACTCCCATTCCTGGGCCACATTTTCAGCAGGGGCAAGAGCACGACGAGGAGGAGGACGAGCAAGACCAGGAGGACGAGGACGAGCAGGAGCAGGACGAGGAGCAGGAGGAGCAGGAGAAGAAGGACGAGCAGGAGGAGGAGGAGGACGAGCAGGAGGAGGAGGACGACCAGGAGGAGGAGGACGACCAGGGAGGAGGAGGAGGAGGAGGAGGAGGGGAGGGGGAGGAGTACCAGGAGGAGGAGGAGGAGGAGGAGGAGGAGGAGGAAGAGGAGGAGGAGGAGGAGGAGGACGAGGACGAGGAGGAGGAGGAGGAGGGGGGGGGAGAGTACCAGGAGGAGGAGAACGAGGACCACCAGGGAGGAGGAGGAGGAGGAGGAGGAGGAGGAGGAGGAGGAGGAGGAGAGAACACCAGGAGGAGGAGGACGAGCAAGACGAGGAGGACGAGAACGAGGACGACCAGGAAGAGGAGGAGGAGGAGGAGGAGGAGGGGAGGGGGAGGACTACCAGGAGGAGGAGGAGGAGGAGGAGGAGGAGGAGGAAGAGGAGGAGGAGGACGAGGAGGAGGAGGAGGAGGAGGACGAGGAGGAGGAGGGGGGGGGAGAGCACCAGGAGGAGGAGAACGAGGACCACCAGGAGGAGGAGGAGGAGGAGGAGGAGGAGGAGGAGGAGGAGGAGGAGAGAGCACCAGGAGGAGGAGGACGAGCAAGACGAGGAGGACGAGAACGAGGACGAGCAGGAGGAAGAGGAGGAGGAGGAGGAGGAGGAGGAGGAGGAGGAGGAGGAGGAGGAGGAGGAGCAGGAGGAGGAGGAGGAGGAGGAGGAGGCAGGCTGATGCTGAGGCTGTGACTGCGACTGCCGTTGCCGCTGCGACTGTCATCGCGAATGCGACTACGACTGCGAGAACAGCAGAATTCGACAACTGGATTTTCATCTGAATCTTAAGGGGAATGCTTTCAGATATGCTTCTACACATCGCGGAGGGCCGGATGCAACAGTCACACACTTCGTGCTCTTCGAGTTCCCAGAACTCCATTCCTGGGCCACATTTTGGATGCCCGGAGCCAACTCTAGTCCACTTCCTGGTCTTCGAGTTCCCAGAACTCCATTCCCGGGCCACATTTTGAATAGCCAGACGCTTCATAATCCTTCCGCCACAGCCGTGTTTGGTTCAGGACTTGCTAGTGACACTGCAGTCCACTGCATTCAATCGTGCCACTGCATTCATTCACTGCAGTCCACTGAGTTTCGATTGCAATGGCGTTCCCCTGGCCGTACCCCCATGTCCAACGTTCATCCGCAGCCTCTGCTCCGCGAGGCTCGTCCGAAGTGTCGCCGCCTCGCGGTGCTTCTCAGCCTGCGCCGCCTCGCGGTGCTTCTCAGCCTGCGGAGGAAGGTGGACAGACGCCTGGTTCTGGCGCTGTGCAGCCTGCGTTCTTCACGGTCGCCTCGTTCAATTTCGGGTTCGAGCAGGGCATGATGACTGGTAAGCAGGCGGCCACTCACTGCGCTAACTTCGGAAGGGTGTGCGCCACGATAGTGGAGACCGCTGATGCTGATATGGTCTGTGGCTGCGAGGTCGGTGCGTTCCGTGAAGGCTTTCGCCGAGCAGGGATCAACGTGACAGAGATCCTCAGTAAGCCTTTCGGTGATGGCATTCGCTTCTCGGAGGTCGACAACTACTTGACTCTCTGGGGGTTCCGCGGTGCTTCTCAGCCTGCGGAACTGACTCTGTGCGAAGACAGCAAAGTTTACAGGCCTCCTAGCGGCCGAGAGATTGATGCTGTTATTTCACATTTTGAGGTGAACAAACCAGGCCATGACAAGTTCCACGTGGTGATCGCCAACATGCACATCGTGTGCGGCAAGAAACCGCCGACCATCCAGACTCGAAAGCGGACAGTTCGCCATCTCCGCTTGCACCTGGACTGCATGGCTCAGATTCTCAATGCTTCGGAGCCGCACGTGCCAGTCGTTCTGCTTGTAGTCGGCGACGACAACCTGACTTTCCAGGAGGCGCGGGAGGCTTACCAGCGCCAGCAGAACGACGAGAAGCTCTGGGAGGTCCATGCCACTCCGGCCGACCTCAAAGGCGACCACGTCGCGGTCTGCGGAGCAGTCGCCCGTTTCTGCTCCATTGCCGTTGGCGCGTCTTTTACGGATCGTGGCATGCGCAACGACGCACACGATGCGGTGGCGGTTGTGCTCACTCTCCCTGGTGCTATTCAGCCTGGGGAGAGCAAGAGGCGGAAGATTGTCGTCGAAAACGTCTCCGACGCCGACGTCAGCGTACAGGCGGACCGCGAGTCTTCTGTGCATTGGGATCGGTCGCCGAGTTCTACTCCTCCGCTTTCACCGACTTCACCGGGTGATCCCGACTACGTCGAGGATGTCGTTCAGAATCGCGCGGACGACTTGCACAGGGAGCTGAGGAAGCTTTGGGACGACAGGTACGACGAGGAGTACGATCCGAAAGTCCTCCATCATCTCAGTCTCTTGCTTTTCAAAAAGAGGAAGTCCACGGAGCCAGCGGACACTGATCCAGCTGGCGCTCCTCAGCCTGGCTCGGAATATGACACGGCCTTTGCGTCTCAGGAGGAGACTGGCCGAGCCATTCTCTCTGTCCTTAAGCTTCGACATGACTTTCTGCGGAGCAAGAACATCGACGACATGCGCTACGTTCTCACGGAGCCTGAGCGCCAGGAATTGGTCAGAGTAGCTCGCGACCAGTACGAGCAGTCGCGGCAGCAGCGTGCGCTTCAGGAACGGGATGTCGAAAAGGGAAAAGCGAGAGGCAAGTCTGCGCCACAAGGGGGCCATGCGGTTCCGCAGGGTCCTAACAAAGGGCCAGGCGGTAAGAAAGGTTCTCACGGTGCTTCTCAGCCTGCGGGAAAAGGTGGCCAGGCCAAGGGTGCAGGTCTGGGTAGCGTCGCCAAGTTTGTGAAAGACCAGAAGCGTAAGCGGTGGCATCGCCATTTGCAACGTGTGGCCGGTACCAAACAGATCTGGGAGGTGCTGGCCTTCTCAGGGCGCTTCGACGTTGATTGGCTAACGCAAGCGTTGCAAGCTGATCACAGTGAGGGCCGTGATGCAGCAGTTCCCGAGGAAGCTCTGCGGCAACAGCGGCGCCGGCTGCACCACCAGAAGGCCGAGGCCATCGCGCGCTACAACGAGGGGGAGCGGCTTTCCCGCCATCTGTCTGCCCAGGCTGGCCAGCCAAAGCCGAACTTCACGCGCAGGCAGCTGGACGTGTTGCAGATGTTTGAGAGCGGAGAGCTGCTTCAAATCCGCAACCAAGCGATTCTGGCGTTGGGGCACGGCCGTCTGTTCAGGGCCGATGGCGACTACCTGGACATCGGCGGCAGCACGGGCGGTGGCTCCAGGCGCATCATCGATTCTTGGCAGCCGCCGGACTGGCGTGACTTCCTCCAAGACGATCAGGACATCTGAGTTTTGCAAGTCTCCCTGCCCGCGGTGCTTCTCAGCCTGCGGTCTGCCGCTCTCCAGCTGCGGTCTCGAGCAGTAGTGTTCGAAAGCATGCGAGTTCCTGCGGTGCTTCTCAGCCTCTTGGGGCCTCTTGGGGGCCTCTTGGGGCCTCTTGGGGCCTCTTGGGGGCCTCTTGGGGGCCTCTTGGGGGCCTCTTGGGGCCGCTTGGGGGCCTCTTGGGGGCCTCTTGGAGGCCTCTTGGGAGCCTCCTGGGGGCCTCTTGGGGCCATCTTGGGGCCTCTTGCGACCTCCTCAAAAGCGCAAATGAGAGCTGCCCCCTGAGAAGGACAAAATGAGCCGAAAACCTTCGTAAAATCAATGATTTTGCTGTGAAGGAAGATGAGCGCGGCCCCCTCAGGACGCCAAAATGGGGCCAAAACCGTAGTACAATCAATGATTCTGGCTTTAAAGAAGAGGAGGGGGACCAGACGGTGCCCCCCCGTCGGGGCCAGAATCCTCGTGAGGGTCGTCGTTTTTTTAGCCCTCCCAGGAGTCGAAAAAGACCCCTCAAACGACCCGCGGGGCGCCCTCTCCAGGCCCAGGGGGAGGGGGTAGGGGGAGGGGTAAACCCCTCCCCGAAGGGGAAGAAGGGGGGTTGAGAACAGAGCGGGCTCCCTAAACCACTCACGCCCAAAGGGCTGGTGGGATTGATAAGGAGCAGTGATCAAACCCGAAGGGCGGCCGTAAGCCCTCGCGTTCCGCCCTCCCACCACATGATTAAAAGCCGAGTACCACCAGCCCTTGGAGGGCCTCTTGGAGCCTCGTGGGGCCTCTTGGGGGCCTCTTGGGGGCCTCTTGGGGGCCTCTTGGGGGCCTCTTGGGGCCTCTTGGGGCCTCTTGGGGGCCTCTTGGGGGCCTCTTGGGGGCCTCTTGGGGCCGCTTGGGGGGCCTCTTGCCCTGACTCTTACTCCGACTCGTGCAGTTCGCCTTACTCTTACTCTGACTCTTACTCTCACCGTTACTCTTGCTCTGACTCTTCCTCCTCCTCCTCTTCCCTTCTTCCTCGTCCCCCTTGATCTCGCCTCCCAGCTAGGAGCTCTGGTGTTTCCTCGGTCGTGCTTCGTTTTCTTTTGGTCGTGTAGCGTTCCTGACAGTCCAAGACCAGCTCGTCGTCGCCAGTCGCCAGTCGCCTGTCGACCGCCCTCCAGACGCTGTCTCAGATGATGTGGCTCGCCGTGGATGGTCCGTCTGGGCATGGGCGTACGGTGCCGACGCTCGACCATGCGGACCTCGTCCTGGCTCAGAACCACCGCATCGCAGGTCCTTCGGAGGTCAATTGTTATGAGTTCGGCACGGTCTCGGTCAAGTACAGCGTGCTGTGGGGATCCCGAGATGGGGCCTGGCTCAAGGTGCTCAAGACGTACTGGAGTGTCCCAGAGCCGGAGTGCCAGCTGATCCTCGGGAGTTGGAACGGCATTTTCAGGCCGTGGCCGGACACGTTCTGGATCAGGACGGGGGGGTCCGAGCCCGAGATAGATGCTAGCGCTCTGCAGTACAAGTGCTTTTCAGCATGCGACATCCTGCGGTGCTTCTCAGCCTGCAGGGTTCGCAGCGTGCGGTTTGCAATGCATTCCTTTTCAGTATGCGAGTTCCTGCGGTGTTTCTCAGGTTGCAGGGCTCCGAGGCTCTTCGCTTCGATGCCAATGTTTTCAGACACCGTAGCTCCGTTCCGTAAACATCTTCCAAGAGCCGCTCGCAACCTTTTGCAGCTGGCGGTCTGCAGACGTAGTCTGTCTCAGCATGCGAGCTCCCGCACGCTTCGCCGGCTTTTGCTGCGCGGACAATTTTCTCACACACGTCAGCGCCGTTTGTAGGCGTCAGAAAAACATGTAGACATTCACGAAGGGCTCAGTCTGTATATCGTCACATCATTACATACGCAGTCGTCGAACACATCGGTGTACATTCAGCGCTTTGTCCTTCTAGCTGGGTCGCTTCGTGCTGAGGCTGAGGCTGATGCAGGCTGAGGCTGAGGCAGGCTGAGGCTGAGGCCGAGGCCGACGGCAGACTGAGGCTGAGGCTGAAGCAGGCTGAGGCTGAGGCAGAGGCAGGCTGAGGCTGAGGCTGAGGCAGGCTGATGCTGAGGCAGGCTGAGGCTGAGGCTGAGGCTGATGCAGGCTGAGGCTGAGGCAGGCTGAGGCTGAGGCCGAGGCCGAAGGCAGACTGATGCTGAGGCTGAAGCAGGCTGAGGCTGAGGCTGAGGCAGGCTGAGGCTGAGGCAGGCGGAGGCTGAGGCTGAGGCAGGCTGAGGCTGAGGCTGTGACTGCGACTGCCGTTGCCACTGCGACTGTCATCGCGAATGCGACTACGACTGCGAGAACAGCAGAATTCTACAACTGGATTCTCATCCGAATCTTAAGGGGAATGCTTCCAGATATGCTCCTACAGATGGCTGTTAGGTTGCTTTGCCGGGATAATTATTTTATAAATAGGCTCTTGGGGGCCTCATATTGGCATGATCAAAACGTTGGATCTCTGGTGGGCTCAGCGGCGGCGACGACGGCGACGGTGGCGGCGAGGGCGGCCGCGGCGGCGACGGCGGCGGCGGCGCTGCAGCGGCGTCGACAGCGGCAGCGGCGACATGACGGGGAGGGTGCGGCTCCCTCGGCCTCCTGCCCCCCCCCCCCGTGCCTCGCTTCCACCCTTCCTGCTCCGTTCCCCTGTTCTCCTTCTGCTGCTCTTCCCCTCTCACGCTTCCTCCTCTCTTCCCACCTGACTCAGAGGCGCAAGGAGTAATGAGCATGGTCCGTTCCAAGACCTCCAGTTTTTGTTGCTGTCCCGCGCGGCCAGGTACGAACGGCCAAGTGCGCATGGCCGAGGGCTGGTAATTACGAACTCCGGAACTCTAGCACGCATCCTGAGCTAATCGCATCATGACCTTGCTATCGTCATGCTGTCCCCCTCCCTGGCCTCTGTCTCCTCCTCTTCCTCTTATTCGTGTTTCTGCTCATCCGTCGCCCGACATGTTCCCCGCTACTCCTCGAGCTCGTCCTCCCCCTCCTGATTCGAACTCCCCTGCCTCCGCCTCCTCAGCCTCGCTCTCGTTCTCTCCTCCCCCCCCCTCTCCCTCCGTCCTCCCCCCCTCCTTCTTCTGGCGCCCTTATCCTCGTCGCTCTCGTCGTCGTCGCGCTGTCATCGTCCCGTTCTCCGCCTCGTCGTCCTGGCCTCGTCCAGCAGTCCTTGTCATCGTCTAGTCCTTGTCATCGTCCTCGCCTCGTCGTCCTCGTTGTCACCCCCGTCGTCATTCCTGCCGCCCTCGTAGTCTGCGCCGTCTTCTTCTCTCCTGGCCCTCGTCGCCGTCCTGCCAACCGTCGTCGCCTCCGTCCTCAGCGTGGCCGGGGGGGCCCGGCCCAGGCCCCTGCCTTGGTGCCGCCCCGCGCCGAGAGCGCGGGGGCGAACCTGATGGTGACGGCTGCCGGGACGGGAGGCGCGTCGCCGCCCAGCGCCCCCCCCCCTCGTCCTCCTCCTCCTCGTCCCCCTCAGCGCCCTCCTCCTGGAAGATGGGTGTGTACGGTAGGTTCGGGTCGTGTCCACCGGCCGCGACCCCGCCGCCGGCGTTCAACGTTGAACGCCGCCGGCAACCCAGAGTCGGTCGATGTTGAACGATCGGACGTTTCGGAAACGGCCCATCGTGTAAGGCTGAATGATCCCCGCGGTGTCAGAAACCAACTCCGAAGCCGGCACGGCGCGCACATGCCGTAGATGAATCAACCAGTCGACCAGCAAATGACTGACGACGAGGTTCCTGTCAGCATGGCCCGGTGCGATCGCATGAGAACACCATCTGGGGCCAGCCACCAGCCAGCGCTTCCGGGGCCGACACCTTCCCAGGCGCCGACAGGTCGGGTGTTGCCAGAGGGGTGCCTCTAGCCTTAAGTCGGGCCTGTCCCTCTACAGGAGGAATATTCCAAAATAGTAAAACATTCAGGGGACGATTGTTATGTAATTGTTGGATTATTATATCGCTTCGCTCATTCCGCCGGCCCATGTTGCATGATCGGTACTGCTTCGCCGTGGGCCCAGGCCCATTGTGGCGCCGCCGAGGAGGAGGAGGAGGAGGAGGAGGAGGAGGAGGAGGAGGAGGAGGAGGAGGAAGATGAGGATGGGGAAGGGGAGGGGAGGAGGAGGAGAGGATGAGAAGGAGAGGAGGAGGATGAAGATAAGTAGGAGGAGGAGAAGGAGGAAGGGGAAGGGGCGGAGGAGGGAGCCTCTCGTTGGCATCTTGTGTTGCTCTTGGGGCCAAGCAGGGTCGTCGTGAAGATGCTTCTTTGGGAGGCCTCTTGGGGTCTTTGGAGAAGCCGTTCGGGGGCGCCTGGGAGGCGTTTTTACCTAACAGCGAAGACTGATAGGTTTCTAGTTGACTCAAAAGAGCTCACAGATCACTCCACAGGGGGGTCCGGGCAGGTGTTGGGAGTTTGCCGGGCGGCAGCTCGTGCCGGGCTCGTTTTTCGCCAACAGTCACACACTTCGTGCTCTTCGATTTCCAGAACTCCATTCCCAGGCCACATTCTGGAGGGCCGGAATGCAACAGTCACACACTTCGTGCTCTTCGAGTTCCCAGAACTCCATTCCCGGGCCACATTCTGGAGGGCCGGATGCAACAGTCACACACTTCGTGCTCTTCGAGTTCCCAGAACTCCATTCCCGGGCCACATTCTGGAGGGCCGGATGCAACAGTCACACACTTCGTGCTCTTCGAGTTCCCAGAACTCCATTCCCGGGCCACATTCTGGAGGGCCGGATGCAACAGTCACACACTTCGTGCTCTTCGAGTTCCCAGAACTCCATTCCCGGGCCACATTTTGGATGCCCGGAGCCAACTGTAGGCCACTTCGTGGTCTTCGAGTTCCCAGAACTCCATTCCCGGGCCACATTTTGAATGCCCGGAGCCAACTGTAGGCCACTTCGTGCTCTTCGAGTGCCCAGAACTCCATTCCCGGGCCACATTTTGAATGCCCGGAGCCAACTGTAGGCCACTTCGTGCTCTTCGAGTTCCCAGAACTCCATTCCCGGGCCACATTTTGATGCTGATGCTGATGCTGAGAAGGCTGGCTGAGGCTGAGGCTGAGGCTGAGGCTGAGGCTGAGGCTGAGGCAGGCAGGCTGAGGCTGAGGCTGATGAGGCTGAGGCAGGCTGAGGCTGAGGCCGAGGCTGAAGGCAGACTGAGGCTGAGGCTGCAGGCTGAGGCTGAGGCTGAGGCAGGCTGAGGCTGAGGCTGAGGCAGGCTGAGGCTGAGGCTGAGGCAGGCTGATGCTGAGGCAGGCTGAGGCTGAGGCTGAGGCTGATGCAGGCTGATGCTGAGGCAGGCTGAGGCTGAGGCTGAGGCTGAAGGCAGACAGACTGAGGCTGAGGCTGAAGCAGGCTGAGGCTGAGGCTGAGGCAGGCTGAGGCTGAGGCTGAGGCAGGCTGATACTGAGGCAGGCTGAGGCTGTGACTGCGACTGCCGCTGCCACTGCGACTGTCATCGCGAATGCGACTGCGACTGCGAGAACAGCAGAACTCTACAACTGGATTCTCATCTGAATCTTAAGGGGAATGCTTCCATATATGCTTCTACACATCGCTGTTAGGTTGCTTTGCCGGGATAATTTGAACTTCTGGGGCCTCGTGGGGCCTCTTTTGGGCCTCCTGGGGGCCTCCTGGGGCCTCTTGGGGGCCTCTTGGCGGCATCTTGGGGCCTCTTGGGGCCTCTTGGGGGCCTCTTGGGGCCTCCTGGGGCCCTCTTGGGGCGGAAGGCTCGAGTTTTCGGTTCGTGGTCCCCCCTCTTGGGCCCCTCTTGGGGCCGTCTTGGGGCCGTCTTGGACCGTCTCGGGGCCCTATTGGGCCCTCTTGGGGCCCTCTTGGAAGCCTCTTGGCCCGTCTTGGGGCGCTCTTGGGTGCCTCTTGGGCCGTCTTGGAGCATCGGATGGCCGAAAAGGCGACAAGGCCAAAATCCTTTCAAGACCATCGTAAAATTTATGATTTTGGCCTCTCGGGCCCTCTTGTGAGGCCTCTTGGAGGCCACTTGGAGGCCTCTTGGGCCGTCTTGGGGTCATCATCGGCGTCTTGGAGCGCTCTTTGGGCGTCTCGGGGGCCTCTTGGGCAGTCTTGGGGACCTCTTGGGTCAGGAGGTGGGGTTGTCGATTGCGCCCTCCCCTCGGAGGCCACGATCCTCGTGAGGGGTGTCGAAATTACCCAGTCTGGCATCTCTGATCCGAGTGTCCCGGGGGTGTCCTGGGGGTGTCCCGGGGTACTTTTCGTCCGAGGACCCCCAGGGGCGGCCCCGCGCGCGCGAACTAGAATATTGTTAACCAGTTACCGGAGATCTTAGCACGCCCTTGGCCCGTTGGGCCGGCGAATGTTTGAACAGTGTTTGGCTATGTTTGATTTGTCCTTCAAAATCC